TGGAGGCAGGAGCCATACATAGTATTAAGACGAGGTATGATAAAGCTCATGGAGCAGGGAGAGGGAGGACCCAGTAGCGGTCAGTGAAGAGGCGGGGCCAAGAGCCGAGTCTCGACCCCTGCAACCACAATTAGGTGAGTTCAATTAGGTGAGTACACAAAAGAGGCTGCTAAGCGAGCTAGGTACCTCAAAGGCGATGTCGCCGGATAACATCTCTCCATGGGTCCTGAAAGAGGGAGCAGAGGCGCTATGTGTACCACTAACAACAATCTTCAACACATCTATCAAAACAGGGCGACTAACTGAGGTATGGAAGACAGTGAATGTAGTCCCAATTTTTAAAAAAGGAGACAGACACAAAGCATTAAACTACAGACCAGTGTCACTGACTTGTATAGTATGCAAGGTCATGGAGAAGATTCTAATTATCAGGAGAAGAGTGGTGGAGCACCTAGAAAGGAATGTGCTTATCAACGACAGCCAGCACGGTTTCAGGGACGGGAAATCCTGTGTCACAAGCCTACTGGAGTTATGTGACAGGGTGACAGCAGTAACACGAGAGAGAGAGAGAAAGGGGTGGGTAAATTGCATTTTCTTGGACTGTAAGAAGGCGTTTATCACAGTTCCACACAAGAGATTAGTGCAAAAGCTAGAGGACCAAGCAGGAATAACAGGAAGGCACTACAATGGATCAGGGAATACCTGTCAGGAAGACAACAGCGAGTCATGGTACGTGGCGAGGTGTCAGAGTGGGCGCCCACTGGGGTCAGTCCTAGGACAGGTGCTATTTCTGGTATTTGTGAATGACATGATGGAAGGAATAGACTCCGAAGTGTCCTTGTTTGCAGATGATGTGAAGTTGATGAGAAGAATTCAATCGGACGAGAACCAGGCAGAACTACAAAGGGATTTGGACAGGCTGCATTCCTGGTCCAGCAACTGGCTCCTGGAGTTCAACACCACCAGGCAAAGAATACCGCAGACGGCGTACAGTAAGGGGCCAGAGACTACAAACCTCACTCAAGGAAAAGGATCTTGGGATGAGTATAACACCGGGCACATCTCTTGAGGCGCACATCAACCAAATAACTGCTGCAGAATATGGGCGCCTAGCAAACCTAAGAAGAGCATTCCGACATCTTAATAAGGAATCGTTCAGGACCATGTACACTGTGTATGTTAGACCTATATTGGAGTATGCAGCACCAGTTTGGAACCCACACCTAGCCATGCATGTAAGGAAACTAGCGATAGTGCAAAGGTTTGCAGGAAGACTAGTCCCGGAGCTAACGGGTATGTCCTACGAGGAGAGGTTAAGGGAAATCGACCTGACGACACTGGAAGAGAGTAGAGATAGGGGAGATATGATAACGACATATAAAATACTGAGAGGAATCAACAAGGTGAACAGAGACAGAATGTTCCAGAGATAGGACACAGCAACAAGGGGTCACAGTTGGAAGCTGAAGACTCAGATAAGTCACAGGGATGTTAGGAAGTATTTCTTTAGTCACAGAGTTGTCAGGAAGTTGAATAGTTAGGGAAGTGACATAGCGGAAGCAGGATCCATACATAGCTTTAAGAAGAGATATGATAAAGCTCATGGAGCAGGAAGAGTGACCTAGTTGCGACCAGTGAAAAGGCGGGGCTAGGAGCTGTGACTCGACCCCTGCAACCACAACTAGGTGAGTACATACACTCACAATATACTCTATATGTATATATATATACACATATATATATATATATATATATATTATATTATATAAATGTATATATATATATATATTTTATATATATATATATATATAATATATAATTTTTATACATATATAATATGTATATATATATACATATATATATATATAATATATATATAATATATATATTATTTATTATATATATATATAAATGTTTTATATAATATATAAATGTATATATATATAATAAAAGTATATTTTATAAAAAATATATTATATATATATATAATATATATATATATATTATATATATATATAAAATATATATATATATATTTTGATGGGGTCCACCTCTGGTGTAAAATTTTGGGACCCATAGCCCGGAGAATGGAAAAAAGGCTTCAAGGAAGAATATTTGGATTTCTTCCTGAAACCGTTTGAATATTTCCCCTTCCCCTACCACCCCATCTTTTCACTATTTTTTTTTTACCAATAGAATATTTATTACATAATATGGTACAGAAAATTTTAAGAGATACATTTCTGATATAAAGGTGGCATATTTTTATATATATATATAATATATAAATATATATATATATATATATATATATATATATAATATATATATTTATATATGCAATAAGATCACAGTAAACAGGTGATTTCAGAATATGCAAAACAACCACTGTGAAAAAAATAGAGAAATTCCAAGCGCTTTTTGTGACTTACTCATTATCAAGGAACTATAGTATAGTTCCTTGATAATGTGAGTAGTCACGAAAGCGCTTGGAATTCTATTTTTTCACAGTGGTTGTTTTGCTATTATAATTATAATATATATATATATATATAAAATATATATATATATATATATATATATATATATATATATATATATATATATATATATATATATATATATCGAGAAATGCCTAACACAACACTACACACGAGAGAAAGAGGGAGAGAGAGAGAGAGGGAGAGAGGGGAGAGAGAGAGAGGAGAGAGAGAAAAGAGAGAGAGAGAGAGAGAGATAGGAGAGAGGAAAAGAGAGAGAGAGAGAGAGAGAGATAAAAAGAAAACAGACGGCAGACAGACAGACAGAGACCTGGGCAGTATTGCCAGGATCGTGGTTTTCCCTTTCTTAAGATTATTAGGTTAAGAGAGGTAATTCACGAGGGCCTTATCCTTGCCTTGGGGTGTTCACCTTCGAAAGAGGGGGAGGGGAGAGGAGAGGAGTAGAGAGGAGAAGAAGAAGGGAAAAAGAAGAAGAGAGGTGAGAATAGTAATTGGGTGAGAGTGGGGGGGGAAAGGGGGAGGAGGAGGAGGTAATGAGGAAGAAGATAGAGAACGAGTTTGGGAGAGAGAAATGTAGGGGAAAGTCAAGAAGAGAAAGAAGGAAAAAAAAGGGGGAAATGACAAGGGAGATAGTAGCAGGGGAGAGGAAGGGAAGGATGTTGTACGGGAGGGAAAATGAGAGGAAGAAGGTAGAAGGTGGTACTGGGGAGGAAGGGGCGGAAGGTGCAAGAGTTGACCATTTCATGGTCGTGAGTCTCACTGTCTCACTCAGTTGTGGCTAGTGTGAGAAAAAATTATGTTGTATGTTTGCATGTGCGAGCTGTACGTGTGTATGTATACTGTATATGTAAGATATATATAATACATAATATATATAATAATATATATATATATATATATATATATATATATAAAATATTATATATATATTTTATAAATTTATATATATATGTTACTGCAAAACAACCACTCTGAAAGAATAAGAGAATTCCAAGCGCTTTCGTGACCCACTCACATATCAAGGAACTATGAAAGTAAAGCATCCAAGGAAGCTATATAAGGGGTCTGGCCAACACCTCACTATCAGATCCCACAACGGTTAAACACCTGACGCTCGCCGGCCCAACTGGACAGTCCTTTGCACAACTCACCAACAAACTATTCTACCCAAGAAAATTTAAAAATTATTATTTGTCCAGTGTATTATTAAATTCTTCCCAAATTCTATTAATTATAAATGGATCTAATTTTATATAACCAAAAGAATATTCATATTATTTCAAAACTGCTTTTTAGAAACAAAATCAATTATATTCCTGTCGACCATGGGGCTTGCTTGATACTAACTTTCTCAACGTTTGGAAAAACAATTGGAAAGGTGAATGTTTTGCTCTCAGTATGGAGGCAAGATTTGTTCAGTTCCCTAAGTTTTTTTTTAACATGAAAATACGTTGCCATCCACTTTTGCAACCTTCCTCTCCCTCTGATGCTGGCACTGCTGATGATAAATATATAGTGCTTCGGCAGCTAGTGACTACTGATGTTTTTGCGCTCTTGCAGTTACTACTGTCATCTGTTGGGGTTTTTCATTTACCATTGCTGCTGCTTCTTCTTACTCTTTGGCTCCGTTAGATGCTGCTGTTGCTGGCGGCTTAATCAGGTACAGCACTCTCTTCCTTCGCCGCTGCTGCTATTGCCTGCATTTCAACTCTTCCTCCCCACTGTTTTCTCTGCCTTCTCAGCCACCTCCCTCTCCAGTGTTGATGAGAACGCCATCACTAGAGGGGCTGTGAGAGAACTCAAGTGACAGGCATTGATCAGGACTTCTTTCACCTCCGGCCCTCGTTCGGTCAAACTCCACAACCCCGATTTTTCGTCACCTGCAGGCCGAGAAGCAGGATGCAGCGTGCTTCACTGCGTCTCGTGGGCAGCACCAGCTTCTTGCATCTCCGTGGGCAGCTGGTGCCCAGACCGCTAGGTTCTACTTGACTTTCGGTCATTGACAGTTGTCGACTACCTTTCATGCTCGATCATTGAATTTGAGTCAGACTCACCCACTCTAAAGTTAATATCAAATCTCCTAAGTCGCAGATTTATGACCATAAAATTAGAGGGAGACAGATATATAATCAGCGGTGGGCCGGGTCGTGAGCCTCCCCCTCCGCCCCCCTTCATACCCCCTTTGCCCTAATTCATCCCCCCTCCGACCAAAAACCCTACCTCCCAAACCCCTCCACAACAGCGAGTCGGCAACTTGTCTTCTCGTCAATGTCTCCAAGCTACCACCAACACACTTCTTCACCCGCATATATATGCTCGTTTCCCGCCCTTTCCCTTTTCTTTTCTTCCGACACATTCTGTTCCTCTTAAATATCCGTGTTATTCGACCTTTAGGCAACAGAATAAATCCGTGTGATTCACGGAATATAATACACCGAGAGGTTTGGTGTGTGTCTCCTCATGTATAAATGTTAAGATCTACTTTAATACCCATTTTAGGGACTGAGTATTCTGACTGGTGGTGATCAGGTGACATGCAGTCTTAATTACCTTCGTGTACGCAACTTGGTGTTTAAACCCCCATTAACCAATGGATTTAAGCTCGATCCTAATGTCCCATAACCGCAAAACAAACTCTTCTCATTTCCCAGCAGGCTTTTTTATCTGTCAGCACCAGAGGTGTGCTCCCGAAAGACCTTTTAACACTGGTTACGCTTGGTTATTTTTATATTAAATAATCAAAAATGAACTGGAGAAACGTCAAATTGTAATAAACTACGGAAAGATGAGGAAGCCCCGAATGGAAAAGGACATACATGGTCAGTCTCTCCATGTAAACTGTTGTCAACAGATAGTAAAATGAAAAACAACAACATCCAAGGAGGACAGCTATCCTCTCATACGTGTAAGAACCGTAGCGAAATTTTTGCAGCCTGACAGGACTGCTGGTCTTCTCGTTCCTCCCGAACTTCGTCTGACATTCAAGATACATTTATTTTTAATGTCACAGTGTCCCTTTCCAGTGCTGGACGGATTTCTGGAAACCTTCAAACACGAGTCCTTTTTGGCCTCCCCCCAACAACGACAAGTCCCGTGGAACACACACACCAAGTGTACAAGGCCCGTGGAGATCCCACACCAAGTGTGGGTACAATCCCTTCGAGCACCTACACCAAGTGTACAAGTCCCGTGGAGTTCCCACACCAAGTGTACAAGTACCTTGGAGCTCCCACTACAACGCTACCGCCAGGAAGGCGGAAGTAATAGACCTATGTATTTCTGTAGTCCTTGGTTCTTCTGGTAGTTCATGGTACTTCTGGCAGTCTTTGGTTCTTGTGGCAATCCTTGATACCTCTGGCAGTCCTCTGATACCTCTGAGACAGTCCTTATACCTCTGACAGTCCTTGATATCCTCTGGCAGTCCTTGATGACCGTCTGACAGACCTTGTACTCTGACAGTCCTTGATATCTCTGGCAGCCCTGATACTCTCTGGCAGTCCTTGATACCTTCTGGCAGTCCTTGATATACCCCTCTGGCAGACCTTGATACCTCTGACAATACTTGATACCGTCTGCAGTCTTTGATACCTCTGACAACCTTGATACCCTCTGGCAAACCCTTGATACCTCTGCAGTCCCCTTGATTAACTTTGGCATGTCCTTGATACTTCTGTCAGTCTTTGATTACCTCTGACAATCCTTGATACCACTGGCAGTTCTTGGATACCATCTGGAGGTCCTTTGATACTTCTGGTAGTCCTTAAACTTCTGGTAGTCCTTGATAACCTCTGGTAGTCCTTGATACTTCAAGTAGAACCCTGATGCCTCAGGTTAGTCCCTTGATACATCAAGTCAGTCCCTTGATACCTCTGATAGACCTTGAATACTTTCAAGTAGTACTTGATATTCCGAGGTAGTCCTTGAAACAACAAAGTAGTCCCTGATACCTCTGTAGTCCCATGGATACTTCAAGTAGTCCCTGAAACCTCTGGTCGTCCTTGATACTTCAAGTATCCTTGATAACTTGTAGTACTTGAATAACTTCAAGTAGTCCCTTGATATGTCTGGTAGTCCTAAAATACATCAAGTCGTCCTGATACCATCTGGCAGTCCTTGATATCTCTGGTATCTCTGTGAAACTGTCAAGTTAGTCCATGATACTTCTGGTAGTCCTTGATACTTCAAGTAGTCCTTGATATCTCTGGTAGTCCTTGATACTTCCAAGTAGTCCCCTGATCTTCTGAATCCTTGATACTTCAAGTATCTTTGATACCTCTGGCAGTCCTTGAATACCTCCTGGCAGTCCCTTGAGACTTCTGGTATCTTTGATGCTCAATAGTCCCTGATACCTCTGATAGTCCTTGATAACTTCAAGTAGTCTCTTGATACTTCAAGTAGTCCTTGATACCTTCAAGTAGTTCTTGATACCTCGGCAGTCCTTTATACTCAATGTACCCCTGATACCTGTGGTAGTCCATGATACTCAAGTAGTCCTTTGATTCTCTGGTAGTCCTATGATATTCAAGTAAATCCTGATACCTCTGTAGTCCTTGATATTTTCAATTAGTCCATGATATCTCTGGTAATCCTTTATTACTTCAAGTAGGTGTGGGTCCACTGATACCTCTGTTAGTCCTTTGAAACTTCAAGAAGTCTTGAATACCTCTGGTAGTCCTTGATACTTTCCATTAGCCCCTGAGACTCTGTTGTACCTTGATACTTAAGGTATGTCCTTGACATCACTGGTAGTACTGGATACTTCAAGTAGTCCTTGATATCTCTGGTAGTCCTGAATACTTCAAGTAGTCCTTGACCTCTGGTAGTCCTTTGAAATTTCAAGTAATCCTTGGATTCTCAGGTAATCCTAGATACTTCAAGTAGTCCCTTGATATCTCTGTTAGTCTGGATACATCAAGTAGTCCTTGATACCTCCTGTAGGTCCTTGATACTTCAAGTTAACCCCTGGATACCTCTGGTGTCCTTGACACTTCAAATAGATCCTTTGAAATCTGCTGCAGTCCTTGGTTCTCGGGGTAGCTGGAGCAGTCCGCTACTGACATCTTCCTGTCGACAACCACAACACAAGACACCACAAAGAACACAACACAAGACCACACAACACAAGACAACACAGTAACACAAGACAGCGCAAACACCCTCGTACGGATAAACTCTATCTTCCTCTCACAACTTCTCTCAGTATTTCTGCCCTTCAGTGTCTCTTCTCCATTTTATATTTTTCCTTTTAAGAGGCAGTAGTTTTCCTCCCCGCGTATAAACACCAGAAAATTCGCCCGCAATGTTAAAAAAAAATAAATAAATAAAATGCCGGTAAAATTGGCCTGGCCCGACATCTTTGCCCGACCTCTCCGCGCTGGAATGTCACGATACTGAACTTAATGAATGAAATTATCAAGCTCATACCTAACCCAATAATGGGTGGGCTGGCAACAATGCTCAGGAGATCCTTGTAATCAAAGACGGTAAGGCTAGGCGAGGTAGAATAATCCGGGAGAATGGTAATTTGAATTATTCAATGAGGGGTAAAGCAAACGTTGATTCTCAGAGGTGAGGGCCGGTGTCTCCCGCAAATTGCTGATTATTATAATTCCCGCTTGAAATGAACAAAGATCAGAGGGTTAATTATCTGAAATGATGAGCTGGGCGAAGACTGGGAGGCAGCAGCCGGAGGAGGAGGGTGGTGGGAAGAGAGGTGCAGATGAGTAAGAGTATGGCGTATTACACACACACACACACACACACACACACACACACACACACACACACACACACACACACACAGGAGGAGAGTGGTGGGGCACCTGGAAAGAAACAAGTGTATAATTTACAACCAGCACGGTTTCAGGGAAGGAAAATCCTGTGTCACAAACCTACTAGAGTTTTATGACAAGGTGACAGAAGTAAGACAAGAGAGAGAGGGGTGGATCGACTGCGTATTTTTGGACTGCAAGAAGGCTTTCGACACAGTTCCTCACAAGAGGTTACTGCAAAAGCTAGAGGACCAGGCACACATAACAGGAAAGGCACTGCAATGGATCAGAGAATATCTGACAGGGAGGCAACAACGAGTCATGGTACGCGATGAGGTGTCAGAGTGGGCGCCTGTGACAAGCGGGGTTCCACAGGGTCAGTCCTAGGACCTGTGCTGTTCTTGGTATACGTGAACGACATAACGGAAGGGATAGACTCAGAAGTGTCCTTGTTTGCAGACGATGTGAAGTTAATGAGAAGAATCGAATCGGACGAGGATCAGGCAGGACTACAAAGAGATCTGGACAGGCTACAAGCCTGGTCCAGCAACTGGCTCCTTGAATTTAACCCTGCCAAATGCAAAGTCATGAAGATTGGGAAGGGCAAAGAAGACCGCAGACACAATATAGTTTAGATGGCCAAAGACTGCAAACCTCACTCAAGGAAAAAGATCTGGGGTGAGTATAACACCGAGCATATCTCCTGAGGCGCACATCAATCAGATAACTGCTGCAGCATACGGCGCCTGGCAAACCTACGGATAGCGTTCCGATACCTCAGTAAGGATTCGTTTAAGACTCTGTACACCATCAAACGTCAGGCCCATACTGGAGTATGCAGCACCAGTTTGGAATCCACACCTAGTCAAGCACGTCAAGAAATTAGAGAAAGTGCAAAGGTTTGCAACAAGACTAGTCCCAGAGCTACGGGGATTGTCCTATGAAGAAAGGTTGAGGGAAATCGGCCTGACGACACTGGAGGCCAGGAGGGTCAGGGGAGACATGATAACGACATATAAAATACTGCGCGGAATAGACGAGGTGGACAAAGACGGGATGTTCCAGAGATGGGACACAGACACAAGAGGTCACAATTGGAAGTTGAAGACTCAGATGAATCAAAGGGATGTTAGGAAGTATTTCTTCAGTCATAGAGTAGTCAGGCCATGGAATAGCCTAGAAAGTGATGTGGGGGAGGCAGGAACCATACATAGTTTTAAGGCGAGGTATGATAGAGCTCATGGGGCAGGGAGAGAGAGGACCTAGTAGCAATCAGCGAAGAGGCGGGGCCAGGAGCTGTGACTCGACCCCTGCAACCACAAATAGGTGACTACAAATAGGTGAGTACACACAAACACACAACCGACTTCTCGACTTCAACCCCCGCCAAATGCAAAGTCATGAAGATTGGGGAAGGACAAAGAAGACCGCAGACAGAGTATAGGTTAGGTGGCCAAAGACTACAAACCTCACTCAAGGAGAAAGATCTTGGGGTGACCATAACACCGAGTACGTCTCCGGAAGCGCACATCAACCAGATAACTGCTGCAGCATATGGGCGCCTGGCAAACCTGAGAATAGCATTCCGTTACCTTAGTAAGGAATCGTTCAAGACACTGTACACTGTGTACGTCAGGCCCATACTGGAGTATGCAGCACCAGTTTGGAACCCACACCCGGTCAAACGCGCCAAGAAATTAGAGAAAGAGGAATGTCCTACGAATAAAGGTTGAGGGAAATCGGCCTGACGACACTTGAGGACAGGAGGGTCATGGGAGACATGATAACGACATACAAAATACTGCGTCGAATAGATAAGGTGGACAGAGACAGGATATTCCAGAGAGGGGA